GTTATGTTAAACTTATATTAAAGTTTTTCTTCATTACCCCTTCAAGCCGCCTCCAACCATTATAATTAGTAGTTATCATTGATAAGTTTGGTGAAGCTCTAGAAATTGTTTTCTTTCTGCATTGAACTCCTGGTGACAACATCTAAGTGAGTATGGTTAAACTGATAGAAAAGTTAGTATTATTATGATAACTGTTTGTCAAATGAGAGACATTGGATTCTAGATCTACATTAAACATCTAAATGTCCTTAATTATCAAAATCTAAAGAAATGCAAAGGACTGGATTGTTACATGTATGTTGTTTCTTTTGCATTTAGTTGTGGTTAAGTAATTAGCATTAGGTAGTAACTATGTACAAGTAAAATAAGTTAACTTTTTTCCTTTTTTCTTGATATCCGATCTATCCATAATTTAATTCACTGGTTCTGGTTTTGCACAAAGGTTACAATAACTCTAAAATGAAGGGTGAAAGTTACACCGTGCTTAAATTCATAACTTGTTTTTTTATTGTTGTGGATTAAACACGTTATTGACAGATTAATGGTCAAGGCTGTAATCACTTAATAATACTTTGTGACTTATTGTATATTTTTCAGTACTTCTATGCTAAGCCATTGTCCTCTTTACTAGGTGAATGTCATCCCTGGTTGTTTACTTTCATTTTATTTTAATTTCAAGTAAAAACAAACTAATGGATTACAAAAGCAAGTATTCAACCACGTTTGATAATGTTAAGAAATTAGGCAAGTGCAAAATGTAGAATTTTTTGCTCCCCACTAGCATTGAGGCTTCCACCTAAACTTGCATGTTTTAACATGCTATTATTGCACTTTATCATGCAACTGAGCATGAGACACCCTTCCACCAGTAGGAGTGTGATATACCCTCCTAACATAGCTGAATCCCTCTATACTCATTGTTCAATCATCACTTCTCGATTAATAATGTATTTTTTTGTCGCTCATGAAATTTTTCAAATACAGGCATTTTTTGTTGTTTTTTCCTTGAAATACAAAGACATTACCTGTAGTGGATGTATTTAATGTTGGATTTTTGTTTTCCAACATTTTTGGCTCCAGCATATTTTGTGACCTTTTATTTCCATGTTATTATTTCATGAGTCAGAGTAACTTACACTCTGTATGGTGTGAGACAAGAAGACTTTATTCATGCTAGCTTCACAAATAGTGGCATTGAGTTTATCTGTTGGGGAGTAATGACTTTTTTGCAGCAAGTGGTGCAATCTTTCATGCAGCCTGGATCTTGTGTTTCTTGTTCGTGACAGAAGGGATTTTGCAGGTTTTTATCCAACACCTCCCTTTGTCTAATCTTATATCTATGGTGTATTGTATCTACCTCTGCTTTTTTGTAATTTTTGGATTAGGTTTTTCAGGTATGTTTCTTCCCTTCACTTTGTAATTCATTCCCTGCTTCTTACTTTTATGTTTGTTTTACTTCCTTTCCAGGTATGCAAGTCCATATTTGATTACTTTCAACACACCTCATCCTCCTTCCTTTGTTACCTCTTATGACAAGGCATGACTTTGTGCTGTATTACATTTCTTCAACTCCTAAACCCTGAAGTCTTTTCTTCAGACTTGGGCATCAGATCATCTGTCTTTTGTTCATCTTTTTCTTAAGCTTAAGTTTTCCCACCTTTGTCTTACACACTCTACCCTTTTTTCGTTATTTTTCCATCATTCCTCTGAAGGGTTTTTTGGCAGATGCTTGTTTTTACTTATCTCCTCTACGGTGTTTATCTTTCTCAGCCTTATCACTTCGTACACGGTTGATCTGTTGCTAGAGTTGGTTGTGACGCAATGCCCTTGTTACTCAAGTGCTTTTTCTTCTTGTTTATCTTGTAGGCCTTCATCTGGCTCTTTTCATTTCCCAGTATGATTTTTTTCTGGAGTGCTCATTTCACTGGAGTTACATGTTGGGGTCGCATGCCAATGTATTCCTTATCCTCACTGGCTTACCATCTCTCCCATGCTCCTCCTTTACCTCTTTCTGTCTCCTTTCTTCCTGCTTCCTCTCCTCCTGTCCACACTTCCCATTCCTCAGTTCCAGTTTGTCCTTCCACTGCTCATACACATCAGTCTTGGGAGTGACTTTCCTATAGGCTCAGGGTCAGTAGGGCCCATTTATTTTGGTTTACAGACCTTTGACCTCTGTTTGGGTACTGACCTTGTTTCTTGTCTAGGTTGGTCCATGGCAGTATTGAATCTAATGGCTACAGATGCTGTCAGGAGGATTTTCCATCCTTCTCCAGGATTTTAGTCCCATCTTTTTTTGTTGCTACAGAAGCTACAGGTGTCCAGTAATAGATGTTTCTTGTCTCAGTCAGTTTCTCAATTTCAATCAATTTACCATGAGAACTTTTCTCACCCTATAGTGGTCTTTTGTCCCAGGTCTTGAGATGACTGAGGTGGTCATCTTATATACTTTTCTCATTTGGCTCCGTCCCAACAAGCCTCCTACAGCAATCCTTTGGGTTGGTTGGTTCAACCCTTGGCTTTTTTTTGGCTGTTTTTTCAGGACCAAAAATTTTTCTCAATTGTTTTTTTTCTTCAAAAAAAAATTGTGTTCAGTTTTTTGGGAAATTTTGAGTCTTTGCAAAAAGTTTTCAGAGAAATTTGAAAGACCTGGCTTTAAGACAGAGCAAAAACTTATCTTTTACAAGGGATTTTTTACAAATCAAATATGCTTTGCTTCTCTGTTAACATTTATTTCAAATACATTTTCATAACTTTAATGTAGAAATCTTACAAAATTCAAATATTACAAAACAGCATATAAATCTTAAGATCAGTTATTACTTATTGAGCTACCAGAATCACTGGCTGTGAAAAAATTTTCATTTGTGTTGTTTTGTTGTTTTTTTTTTGAAATTTTTTTTCAGTTTTTACCAAAAATTGCCAAATAAAAATCCTGCAACCATGAGAAGTTGCACCTCACACCCACATAGTTTCTCATTCATTTGGATGTTTATCAGCTTGCATCTCCTGAAGGTCCAGCTTTCTCCTCTTCTTTTGAGGGACATGGAGCAGTTGGTTTCCCATGCCCTATTCTCTCTTCCTCTTCACTATGTAGGACTTTTTCTCTCTTTTGAAGACTTTGGCTTCCATGGAATCCCATATCCCCTTTGATCATGCTCATATGCAACGTCTACAATGGGCTCTGCATGTTCACTGATTTCTTGCTGGGATCCCTTGTCCTCCACCATTCTCCTTCCTTGCCCACAGACTTCATTTGGTCACTTGTTAAAACCAGTACCGTAGATGGTGTTCCTTTCCTTCCTCTCATCCAGCTCTCTATCTGTTTTTCTTGATGAGATAGGGGGCATGTCTTGACTCAAGTAAATTTGAGTCTGTAGTCTCACGGTGAATCATCCTTTGATATCCATATTTTAGAACTTTTGACAGTATGTTGAGCTTTGGAACATTTTCTTGTGATGGTTCGTGGACATTTGGGGATGATCCATACAGTCACTCTACAGTTGTTTCATATATCAGTCACCAGAGGGACACTCAGTCTCGCTCTCTCTATTTCCACACTCTTGATCTTTATTTCCGGGCCTATTCTTTACAAGTATGTCTAATAGCATGTTATATAGTAGGTGCCTTGAATCTTATTGCAGAACGTCTCTTACAGTCTGACTAGATACTACCTACAGTGTTGGTCCCTCGATCCTCTGGTTTTCGAGTGGCCTCGGCTGGGCACTCCTCCTTTAAATGTTTTGTTGAGTTCTTCTGATAACTCCATACTGGCCGGCTCAACCATGGTTTCCTCTGTTTCACTTGCTTCAATCCTTAACCTCTGTCATGCTCCCTACTCCATCAGCCTCTCTCCTCCTCCCATCCGTCTGTGTCATCCCTCCAACTTCATGTATGGATGTTGTCTGGTCCTTTGTGAGATGTTCTGGACTCTATTCATGTGTAGCTTTTCTTTTTTCTTATTCCATTCATTCTATCTCTCTCCTTGTCTATCAACAAAAATGGCACATATTCTCTAGTTGGTCTCTGTGTCATGATTTCTCCCCTTCCCATTTTTCTATCCCCATCTTTCTGAATTTTTATATGGCTGTTTGACCAAGGTATATCACTTTCAACCATTACTGGCTACAAGGTAGCTGTACTTCATACTTTTGGGTTTTCCCATTATTGTCATGTATTATCCTTTCTATGCTCTTCCTGATTGGGACCTGAATGTTCTTCTCCATGCCCTTACCCTACCTCTCTTTGAGCCTATAGCCTTTTGTTTTTTGTACCTTAATTTGCTTAAGTCCTATTTCTTACTTTTTTTTTCTGACTGTGGCTGTAGGAGATCTTACGTGTATACCACTGATCCTTCTGATATTCTTTTCCATTGTTTTTCTATTCATCATTATCCTGATTCTGCTTTTCTTCTTAAAATTTTTGTGGCTCATGGAGAGGGCAGTATGTTCACTCCTATTTCCCTTTTTTGCATTTCTCACTTTTATTCTCATTCTGATCTGGATTGTCTTCTCTGTCCCATCTGTGTAGTTCGTTGGTAATTGACATGCACTGCACCTTTTCACTATTAATGCTCTTGTCTTATTTATTTCTTGGAATTCCTCAGCTCCCCAAGATATTTTTCTCATTACACATGGAATGGCTATGGCATTTAGTCTGTGCTTCATTGTAAGTAGATTCACATCAACTCTTTTATGTCATCTCTCTCCAACTTTGACACCTTACTCTGTCTCACTGGCTGCTTACTTCTGTCATCCATTAGAGGGGATTATGCAGGCTAGTGTGGGAACAGCCTCACATACTTTTGTCACATACTATCTTCATTATTTGGCAGTTTCTTCTTTGTCAGGATATGCACTTCATCTTGTCACCATTCTACATAAATCTTACTGGCTCTGTCTAGTTAAGTTCTTTTTATTGTCTTTCTTACCTTTACAGTGACCCGGATCCCACTGAGTAGCATGCGGCGCTACCAGGGTATACCTGTATTTAAATTCATGCCATGTGGCCATTTGGGTCTGTCATGCTCAATGATAAGATGGAGTGTTCCAAAAGATCATTAGAGGTTTCCTTGCAGTATAATATTTGTTAAACAAGGCCCGATCAAAACTGTGCCTACTCATGGATTGTCATCCATCTGTTCCTAGTTGAATAAACTGGGACTGGCCTGCTTTTAAAAATAGGTTTTCTTGGTCAACCATTGCACTGTCTTAAGGTGTTGCATTCCTCTGGGCTCTCCAGTGTGCTTTCACCTTTTATCTTCTAGTGGAATACAGAAGTCATTGCTACTCACTAGTTCCTAGCCACAGGGGTGGTGGACCATGGAGACTTCCTCCCAAGTGTGACCAATTCCACTCAGTAGAGAATAAGGCAGTTGTGTTCTGATGGAGTGGGTAGTATGAACCCTTCTCCTACTGTAGACCAAATGAAAAATACCAGATGCTGCCTGGTTTTGGAGTGGAGTTGACCCACCATGTATATTTTCCTCCATCCTACTGTTGCCTGGATATCAAGTTCCTGGGTGGTCTGGTGTTGGGTGTGTGGAGGGTCAACACACGTGTGCACTACAGAGGTTACTTTTCCATTCTGCTTCCTGGTATAGAGGTGAAGGTGGTTGGGACCCTCCACATACTGCGGACTAAATGGAAAATACTCAATGGTGCCTAGTTTTAGACAGAGTTGATCCATCATTTATGGTCTGTTGTGCCTAGCCACACTGCACCATATGGCACATCCATATTCTATACTCTTGACTATACTTGTTTTCTGCCAAACTTGGCAACATATTTTCACTATGGGTGAAGAGTATACCCTGGTACAGAAGAGGTGCAGTGTCCCATGGGTGTGCTGCTATACCTTTTCATGTATAGGATGTCACACTCAATGGGTTTTTCTTCAGCTGCTTTTTGGAAGGGGCTCATCTATGTGACTTTTGCATTGATCCCTCCACTACTTCACTGTGGGATTCTAGCTGTCCTTCCCATGTTTAGGTTGTCTTTTTTTGCCTTAATTTTGAAGTTGATGTATTGAACTAAGTCAAGTATAGAGGAGTCG